GGGGGAGCGAGCTGAGCCCGCCGCGGCCTCCCGTCCCCGAGAGCAGAACGAGGGAGAGAGCTCGTCCTCCCTTCCCCTGGCCCCGAGGGTGCTGCTGGGCTCGGGGGCGGCCTCCCGGGGCCTGCTGGGCCGCTCGGGGAGGCGGGGGCGAGGGGGGAGGAAACGGCTTTAGGCGGTGGCGGAAACGGCGAGATTTCCGGGCGGCTTCGGTGGGGTTTGGGGCGAAAAGGTGAAAGAAAGATTGTGTTGCAAAAATGGGCGTGCTGGCTTTGGTGCTGGTGGATGCTGGTTCTGAGCCTGGCTTTGAGGTTTAAATTTCTTTCATGGCTTGGTAAATCTCTAAACAATAATATAAACAGGTTGGAAAGGAAATTAATAGGTGTCGTGAAAGAGGTGATGGTCTCTGTCGTGTGTGAGCCTTGCGAAGACTGGGCAGATCTGGCATTTGTGTCTGGGTTGCAAGGTCTCGAACGTGTTCTTCTGAGTCCTCTAGCGTGGAGGAGTCTTACGTCTTCAGCATTGACCGCACCTCAGAACGTCCCTGGGTCTGTAGGTCTCTGTTGGATTGTGTAGCTGGTTTTAAACTCCACTTTATGATCTGCCTGGCCTTTTGCCTTAGGAAAGGAAATTAATACGTGAATATGGTTGGTTTGTTTTTCCTGCAGCAAGCTAAATAGGCATTTTACTGCAGATGGGTATACAGTGAATTAAGTCATGTATTTGACTATAAGAATAAGACAAACGGACAAAAAATACGAACTGGAAGGAAATGCGTTGTCTGGCTGGAATGCTAAAGAAGAAATTGAGAAAACAATAAGTAACCTGTACTAGTGTAGAGTTGGACCTTGGATGCAATTGAAATATAAATTAAAAAATTGAAAGTTAAATATGCAGATAGCTCTGGCTTTTAAGAATGTCACCTCTTTGATTTACTGCTGAGTCCTTAAAATCTACTGAATTAGGCCGGCTTCTATACCGTTATGCCTCAACTTGTATCTCTTCTTGTTGACAAGATTGTCTATTGCTTTTTCCTGCATCTTACTCTGACAGGCGTGTGTATGCCTCCAGATAGGCTGCAATATGCAGAGCTCAAGGAGAGTTTCAGCAAAATGGAAAGCTTTCCTGTTGGAACCACGGTGTCGTATGTCTGCCGGCCAGGGTATATAGGAATCCCCGGAAAATCATTAACTCGTACGTGTGGTGAAGACTTACAGTGGTCACTCACAGAGCAGTTCTGTACAGGTAATGTGTGCATGAGCTCTTTTGCTTTTTCCCTTTGATATTTAACAATTTTAGTTGTTTTTCAAGTAAGAATTAGTATTCTGTAATATTTGAAATGAAGCTTGAAAAATGCTAATGACGGTAAGAGCAGTATATGCCAAAGACTTAGTCTTTGTATATAACTATAAAGATGTAGATTTTTATTTTTTTTTCTTTCCCACTCCCACTAGAGAGAAAATGTAACCATCCAGGAGAACTAGAACATGGTTTTGTTAACGTGACAGATCTTACATTCGGTTCAAAAGCTACTTTTTCTTGTGAAGGAGGGTAAGTATTTGGTGAAGTTAATGAATCCTTTTTCTTTTTTTTTCTGTTTAGACCAGATTTGAACCAAACCCAAATTTTCTTATGCAGGTTCCATTCCAGTTCTGGCTTGAAATGTCTCCTGAATTCAACCTGGAGCAAATGAAATTACAGTTAAACCTGATTTGATTCCCTGGTTTTACTTGCTGTTTGCATCAGCCAAGGCTTAAGCTTTTTAGTGAGATTCTGCAGAGTGAAAACTAGAGTTTTACATCTAATGACTTTGTTTAATGCTCCTGTGACAGAGGGAATAAATATATATATTCATCACCCTTCATTATTATATTGAATAATGGCCCACTTGTCTGTGTATAGCAATTAAGTCAAAAGCAGTAACCTCACGCAAGGCTTTTTCCTCCCTTTCCTTTTAACAGATTGTTTCTTTAGTATTAGTAACTTTAGGGCATTAGTATTAGAGGGTACACTTCTTAAAATGGTGAGGCTTCCATCGGTTCCTTTAGTGATGTCTCATTTGCTTCTCTTTTGTTTTCAAAGTTGAGACTGTTAGCAAAATAAAATAAAAAATCAAGATTCCATTCTTATTACAACAAAAACTTGGTATATTATGTCCCCGTAACCACAGAAGAGAACTATATAAACAAAGTTTCTAGGTGCTTGTTGGAGAAATGAGAGATTTCTTAAGTTTCACCTCTTTAAAAATTTTTACCTGTCTAGATTCAGATTACGTGGAACTGATGAAATTTCCTGTGTAATTAAGAATAAAGGTGTTGACTGGAATAGAGATCTTCCTCTCTGTGAAAGTAAGGAAATTACTACCGTGTTTAAGTTTATATTCGGATGGTGGTAGTTCATTTAAAAACGTCTGTGCCATAAACTTTACAGTATAAGAAATGATGGTAAAACAAGACCAATTTTTATTTTTTTGGAACTACTTGGGATGTGCCTTAGGAATGACTAGTGAAAAACATCAGTTGTTGTGGTAATTAGCTCATATTAGTTTAAGTCAACCTCTTCTTGAAATTGAGACTCCCTGTAATAAACGACCATCAGTAACTCTCGGTTATAACTGTAGCTTGTCTTAGAAATAGCTATATGTCGGATTTTAAATGAAATTACTTGAAAATCAAGGCTTGCTATTTCTGAGATGAACAAGGTGACAGCAAAATTCTGTCAGCTAATTTGTGTGATTTATTTCTAGGAATTCCTTGTGAACCACCTCCACGCATAGCCAATGGGCACTACACTGAAGCAGCTAGCTATGTTTATCAAACAGCAGTGACCTATACGTGTGATCGTGTACCAAAAGGCGCGGATCCCTTCTCGCTGATTGGCCCAGATACTATTTTCTGCACATACGATGCACAGTCAAATGGAGTTTGGAGTGAACCACCTCCACAGTGTAGAGGTTGTTGGGATTTTTAATATACTTCTTTATTGTAGCCTATGTGACTCCGAAACTTCTCTATCTGTCCCTTTTTTGGAAGGGGTGGGGTGGGGGAATGGACTTCCCTATAGAAAAGAAACAGATCTTCTGCTACTAAATTTGATATAGTTCCAGTGGACATCAGATCAACTGCATTATGGATATTGATTGATTATGACACAGAATATGACTAAAACTTAAGTTAAAACTTTAAAAATATACGTATGAGCATGCTGTTGGTAGAAGTGACAAGGACAAAGTGAAAGAACTAGGAGACCATAAAGCCTGGGTAGCTGAAGAAAAATTGTGTAAAGAGTAAGAATGTGGAAGCTAGATTATGAGTAGTAAAAAGGTGAGGAAGAACTCTTTTTCTAAACACAGCTACTGTGCAAGTGCAGAAATAAATGCAAAGCGCAGCAAGCACAAAGTCTTGCTTTGCAGATGTAGGGAGGAATACCAGATGCTTGCATGTTGTTGTTTAAATCCTAATCGATACCACTTTGTTTTCTGAAATTCTGCCACTGTACAGGAGTATGTCTTTTGGAAGTGGAACATGATTATATCAATTATTACAACATCTTACTTGACTGTGTACTGTTTCAGCTCAACAGCTTAAAACAAGGACCTTCTCCACCTTCAAGAGAATAACTTTTTCACAAAGCCCCTCCAAAACAATTTGCAGAATTAGATAAGGAAACTTACAAGTAGTAAAAGGATGCTGTGTCTGTTGCAAAGATACTGTCAACAGATGTTTGAGAGCTGTTCTTCTCTTACCTGTTTCAGTGGTCAAATGTGATAACCCAAAAGTTGAAAATGGAAAAAAAATAACTGGATTTGGACCTTCCTATAGCTATAAGGACTCAGTCATGTTTGAGTGTGATCCAGGCTATTTCATGATCGGACCGGCGGTAATTACTTGTGGAGAAGATAACACCTGGTCTCCAAAACCAACTTGTGAAAAAAGTAAGCCTTTAAATAAGAATCCAACTTCTTTTGTATACTGAGAATGTTGTAAGTCTGTCTTAGCTAAAATTTAAAATCATAACACTAGTTGGAGATCAGAAGCTAAGGGGGTTGGTTGACATGGAGCCTCATCTATGGGCAACCATTTTAGGTGTTCGAGTGACTCCTAACTCCAAAGAGTTTTCACATGAGAGCGAGTTGAGTTGCAGACATGCATATAGAAGTTGTGGTGTGGACATACTGTGATGATACTTCATCATGATAGCATCACAGTGTTTGTTCTAGTGATTTTACATGTAAATACAGAAGAAAAGATGTGCTTCTGAATTCTGATAGAAAGAACTCGGGGTATGCACAGTGAGGAAGCCTACAGTGTCTTTCTAGAGTAATCCAAATCATTACGTGTCTGTGTTCTCTTATGCAGCTCTTCAACTCTTACTTTCCAGGCATCTTGTATGGTGTGTAGTATGTTGTTAGATTTTGACCAGGCAAATTATTAAGTCAGGACTAATTTGCAGGGCTGGGGACATTGCAGAGGTCTTTCTGTAACCTTTCTCCTTCCTGTTTGTGCTAGAGGGAGAGGGAATGTTGTAGAGTACGGTGAGAGAATTTTTTACATGCATACTCTAATAATGAGTTCCCGAGAATGAGAACCACTTCTGCAAAGAGTATGTTTGAGTGTTCCATAATGAATGAGTCTGATAAGGCACCTGGAAATTATTCTAGAGCTTGCAAAAATAATTAACCAACAAATAGGAATTTCTTAGCTACCACATCATAAGATCATAGTACCTTAATGAATACCTACAGTGATGTTTCTTTTAAGTCTTCTAAAGGAAACATTTATACTTAAAATTGTGGTAAAGTTAAACTGGTCAGGTATGCTGATCTATTTTTCTCATACAAAGGCGATGTATATTTGTGGAGTGAGTTAACGAATTATGAAATATTTAAAGCTTATTATTACTAAACTTACTTTTAAATTCATGTATTAGTTACTGAAGGTGTATGTGGTGCCCCAAAGATCACACACGGAGGAGCGATTCCAGTGAAATCTGTATATGAAGAAGGAGAGTCTGTTCAGATAAAGTGCGATGCTCACTGTACTTTTCCTAATGGTGCTGAAGAGTTGACAGTAACTTGTCAAGGACAGAATACATGGAGTTCTTTACAAAACTGTATATGTGAGTAAAACTCATAATTGGTAAAATCAAGGGCAGGGTGACAAGTTCCAAACGTCTGACGTAGTAATATGCAGACCCTGAAAGTCAGAGGTCTGTCAGCATAACCAACAGATTATGTTAGTAGGGTTGTGAGTGTCATGGGGTGGAGTTTCAGCAACTGAGGAAAGTTTTTGGCAGAGTTGGAGTTGTTCTTGTTCAATCTTAGTTTTGTTTATGGAAATTGGTAAAGTTCACAAGCCAGTGTGACAGGTCTGTTCTGGGAGCGCTTTCTGAAGATTCTTCCTTTGATGATGGCAGACTTTATTCTCACCTCACTTTGCACCATGTGATCACTTGTTATAATATAAACAGAGGTTGTCATTACTTTGATGTAACTGTTTGTCCTAATGAAGCCGAGACGTGTATTTCTGTTAATGTGTCTGAAGCATGTCCATCAGCAGAAGTATCTGCAGCCTCTAGGAAGCGGGAGGCCTTTGCATATAAAAAGTCTTAAGGATTGACTGAGCTTCTGGTATTTACACAAACGTAGGGACTTTCTGATGGCAATTTCTTAACTCTGCTTCACGTACCAGCTCTGTTCTTGGACTTTATTTCCTTTTCTTTCCCTCCCTGCCCCTTTCCAGGTCGGCCTAAAAGTTCCAGTTTCACTCCAGACATAAATTATGGTAGAGTAATTGATGGACAAAAACCTTCATATTCTGTCGGGGATTTTATTACGATTGAATGTTATGCAGGCTACACATTGCACGGTGAAGCTCGTATTCAGTACATTGGAGAAAACCGATGGGTTCCTGGAGTGCCAACTTGCCGGTTAAGTAAGTATGAACTGCAAGAATTTCCATTAGAATGAAGATATGTGTAACAGAAGCTTTACTACTTGGGGACATTCTTCTGCATTCAGGAGAAATCATTTAATGCAAACTTCCTTCTTTATTTTGACATAAGAAAAATAGGGTTTGATAAAATCCACTTAAAAATAGGAATATTTTAAGTTAAGTAACTGTTATGATATAAACTATCCTGCTGCAAGGATTGTGTTGACAGAAGTGTTTGATCTATTTAGAATAACTTTTGTGAATATTTTTATAATAATATTTGAATAAGAAGCAGATGTGTTCCTCTTGTGATACTGATTCACTCTGTTTTTAGGTGCGTATATTACGGCCATCATCTGTGGTAAGTATCTTATAAAACCTGAACAAGATACAACGTGGATTGTATTTTTTTATGTGGTCATTGCCTGTGACTGCAGTAATAGAACATGATTTTGGAGTTTTGGTTGCTTTAAAAATGCTTGTCTACTCCTAAAGCTGCATAGTTCAAGAGAAGATTACTTAGTAATTACACATTAATTTCATGTAAAATGTGTATTTTTTCGTGTGTGAGGCATCAGATTTCAAAGGCAGTCTTCCACAACTTAGTCACTTTCATAAACTCTTCAGAGCTTGGGTTTACTGGAAGTGTGAATGAATAACTGTGCCAGTGAACAGAAGTGCTTAGTCCATCTTCTGTCCTTGCATTTGTTACCCACTTTTGTAAGCCTACCACTTTCTCATAAACTTGTTGTAAAAAGTAATGTTAGGATGTTGACATCTCTGTTCTAATGTTACTGAGCTGGTGGGGTTTTGCCATCTTGGTGGTCACTGTTCTTGAGCTGAACTATCTTGAAGAGTCTTGAGTAAAGCATCAAATACATATTTGTGAAATAAGCCATGCAAATTTTAAGAGGTGGTTTGTTGTATAGGACTGTGGATGAAGACAGTGCTATTTCTGCTAAAAATTTTTGAGGCTTTTTTGTGAGCTAGAGATGATCTTTATCACTCTAAGGCTTTTTTTAATTCTTCCTAAAGTGATTGTGGCAATTGTGGTGTTCCTGGCAGCCTTCTGGGTCTATAAGAAATTCTTTTCACAAAATGGGTGAGTAAGCCTACTTTTTTATTATTATTATTATTATTATTGCAAATTTCTAAATGACTGAGCAAAAGCAGTGCTAACATGTATGTAAGTTTCTTGAGCTTTGTCTGCCCTTTCTTTTTCAAATGCCTGATGATTATATGTGAGCTTATCACAGCAGCTGCTGGAAAGCTGAAGTGCCTAACAATGTATTTGACTTTGTTTTTGTATCTGCTATTCAGATAAGCTGCTAATTAACACTTGCACTAATTTCAAGGAAGGAAAACCCTGTTCTTAAGCTTGTATTTAGCATAGGTACACTTGCCGAAGAAAGTACTGTTTGCATCTGCTCTAAAACATGTCAGTTTACCTCTTAAAACCAGTGGTAGTATTGGCTTGTGTGGGCTTGTGTTATTTTATCGCTTGGTTACCCTCTGGCATCACTAGGTCTCACAGGCTTTAAGAGCCAGAGTGGTTTACGTGAGCTGGAAGCCTTGGAGGTGGACTAAAGAGCTTCTTCCTCTCTTCTACATAGATGTACCAATGATAGTGGAGGTTAACTGGAGAACCACTGTGTTTTTGTGTTTTGGACCAGAAGCACCTTGAATAAAATAATACGGGCTTAGTTACAAGGAAAATGCGAAAAAAATTTGACCTAAACCGGTGCTCCTATGCTGTTTGAAAAAGCAAATAGCTTTGCTACTCGAATGTTTGATGTGTGGATCCACTTCAGTTTTTTTCTCCTGCAGCAGCAATGATTGGTGTCCCTATGTTAAAGACTTGCAAAATCAACTGTAGAATATTAGATGCCTAAGTAGTAGTGTTCTTCTGTTTTTAATGAGACATATAGGGCCTTTTGAACTTTATCTTCAAAACAACTGATTGTTGTGTATGCTTTTTCATGGAGGGGTGGCAGGAGATTTAAATACCTCTTTGTGCATTGCTTCTTGCAGTGATGTCTTATTTTATCTCCTTGAAAAAAGCCTGTTTTGTTGGAGAAATAGTTTGTAACATGCAAAATACTGAAAATTTAGAGCAAGTTAGGTGGTACACATAGAATGTTATGATAAGCATCTCATCAAAACTGACTTACCTTTTAACAAAATCTGTTGGAATTTATCTGGGGTACATGAAGCAAAGGAAGGGGTGCTATAAATAAAGCAAACCAGAGGAAATATTCCTGCAGTTCATATTTGTAATGAAGTACACACAGTACTGTTTGGGAGAACCCTGAAGCTAGCTTATATCCAGTGAAGTTTTAGCCTTACTATCTTCCACATAGGCAGTACAGTATTGTTACAAGGGCCAGAGTGGCTGTGTACCTATGTGCTGCTAAGTAATTCAGTGCTTTTGAGCAATTGCTTTTCATCCATGACTTGGATGATCTGCAATCTGGATGGTCCAAATGAGAGTACGTAGGGGTTAATAGTATTAGGGCAGCACTTTCGGCCTTCAGCTGTGGAGAGACTTCTCAGGGTGTAGAAAGGAGGAGAGATCTAAAGCAACATCATCAAAAATTAAAGAATGTTACATTCCTGAAAATTTTACAACGTGGAAAGTCCTACTGCACCCAGTGCTTTCTTTAAGCTTCCTTGCTGCGAACATCTGACTGTTAAACCTCTTTCTTGTCTGAAAAGCCTGATCTAATCTCCTTTTATTAAGGCCTAGATCTCCCTATTTAGTTTTCTGGGTTCCTGATGTAGCTGAGCCTTTGTGAACTGTTGTGCTTCCAGTACCTCCTACTTGCTGAGTTGTAGTCTTCAAATTACAGCAAAAATCTTTTCTTGCCCTCTCTTTCTTGTGTGTTTAATCTGCCAGTTTTATAGGACATTCAATTAGACCTTTTTCCCCTTCTGCTGTTCAGCTCGTATACAGTTGATGAGAGTTGCAAGGAAGCATGTATTTTAAAAACTAATGTACCAGCTGAGATGGAAGAAACTGCACAAATGAATTAATTGAATCTTAAAAAGGTATACACTTTCCACTTAATTTGGACTTTTGCAATGAAGCTTAAGTGTCTTTTTTTATTATGGTTTACTTAGAATTTCAGGAGAAGTGTGGAATCTAGCTAGCTCTGAACCTCAGTTTCCTGTAGGAAAGACTGTAATAACCGTTCATTCATTTGGGGAGAATAGGATATATTACATAAAGAATTACCATTCAGTGTCGTAAATGATGGCTTCCGGTGATTGCATATCACATCTTAGTTTTGGGTTGTCTTTAAAGAATGAGTAATGTATTTTTCTGTAAGATAGAAACTGCATACATACTCAGTAGAATGTTTGCACCTGTTTCAGTGACGTGAAGTGGATTCCAGTGGTGTGTTACTTTTGTTAGCTAATAGTATAATTCCCTATAGTTAGAAGACTGTTGGGGCTGGAAACCACCTTTGCTGCATTACACGGACACTAGAATTATGAAGGTAGTGTGCATCCCTTCAGAGAAAACCAGATTACATCTCTCAGAATTACTGATCCATCTGCGTTTTCAGCTTTCTAGAAGAAAAATAAAATAAATAAATGAAGGTGCAAACAAGGTCGTCTGTTTAAACCTTTTATTAAAAGGTGATTTCTTTTTCAAATTTGGAGTTCTGTAGCCCTAAAAAGGGTCAAAATATAGCTGATTTCCTCTCCTATATCTTAAACTAGTGCTTAGTCCAGTAGTCAGATGCATTTGATGATAGTTATGGTTGCTCCTGCACTTGTGTAGGGTCAAATTAGCTCTTTAAAAAACCTGACTCTTCAAACCTTGTTACAACAGAACAGATTTAAGGCAGGACAGCTTAGTTTGACTGTTCCTTGTCAGTATTTTGTCATTACTACCTTAACAGTTAGAGTTTGCACTACAAACACTTTTGTAAACAAGTATCTTCATTTGTGTCGTTTTTCTCCATTACACAAATTCTGAGAAGGTAATGGTTGAAACCTTATGTCTCTTATTCTAACACTGCAAAGGTCTTTTCAAATGCATAGTCTTGATTTTATTTACTTTTAAAGAACAAGTGACTTTTCAGTATTTTTGATAAGTTTGAGATGGCATATATGAAAATTAAGCTTGGAGTTTCTTCCAAAATAATGTATGAATTAAGAAATATCATCTGTACCTCTGAAGCATGATGTTTCTAATTGAGATAGGATTAGTTTTCTGGATTAGTTGGGCTTATTTTTGGAGAGAGGGGAAAAAAGGAATCGAGTTCTTATGTCCAATCTTCCCTTTTGCATGTGGCAATGATAAGAGAAATTAATGGTCTGGTATGTGTACACACTATTAACCCGAGTTTTTCTTATGGTGTCTAGAACTCCTTAGAGACCTAGAGTAATAGCGGAGAGGTTTGGTATGGGGCTTTTTTTCTGTAAAGCAAAACAGGAGTTATTCAAGAACTTGAAAATACATATATGTATGGATGTAATTATGAATTTTAATCCTTATATGTTTAAGTATTGTAAATTTGCTGCTGGCGGACTACAAAATCAAAATTCTCACAAACTAATATTCAGCTTCTGGTTATAAAATATGTACTAAACAACATACTGTATTTAAAATAAATTATAAGGGATGCTTCTGATGTAGTCTCCAAATTAGTTAGGAATCCTGTAACTGTTCTGTCTGTCTTCAGTTTTTGATAATACTCAGGCACGGTTTGTTCATCACTTGAAATGATCCACTTGGATCAAATGCTCTTCTACTCTGTGGGTCATTCTTGGCAGTCTAGTGGATGAAATGAAGCAAAAATCTCCTCAATCTAGCAGTTGCTTAGTAAGAAGAGGACAAATAATGGTTTAGTTTCATGACTTTACCTGTTGATTTAATGATAAAACTAAGGATGTGCTTTCAGAATAAATGTAAAAACTATTTAAATGTAAAATCTCTGATTTGACTTGTTTTTTTGTTTGTAGGAAACGTGACAGCACTCCGCATACTGCCGAATATAAGATCTGTAAAGCATGAATGACCTTTTTTGGGGGTGGGAGGGAGTTTGCAGTTGAATATACCTGTCAGAAATGGAAAATGATTGCACTTGCATTGAGTTTCTGTAGATGAATATCTTGTACTATGTCTTATACTACTGATTAACTGTAGTAGGAGATCATTAATAGGGTAAAAAGAATATATATCTATATATCTGCTTTTCCTTATGGGCCACTCATTGTCTTTTCTGTGTATGTGAAATGGTCTTAAAGGCACATACCTGTAGCATGCAAGGAGTGTCTGTGTCGGCGGGAGTACTGGATGTATCACTGTCGTAGTACCAGCTGCTGCTGCCTGCTGCCTTCGGTGCTACCTATTTTCTTACAGAAGACTATCCAATATTAGTTCTGCTCACTAAAGTCCGAATGTGCTTCTCGTTCATTTTTGCGGTTGAGGCAGTATAAATGATTATGTTGTCTCTTGTATTCTGAAATGTTTTGTTATTAATTTCCTTAAGAGATTGGTGCCACTTAAGGCTATGTCTTTTTGAAACTATCACAGTTTAGATCTTATATACACTACCTCTTTGTTTGCCAAAGTTGGTTTCTGTATATCTAATTAATTAAAATGTGCCTTTAAATCAGAGTTTTATAGCTTTTCCATTGCCTTTAAGAAGGAAGAAAGCCATATATATTCCTGGCTCTTTAATACAGTCCCAGAAAGACTACAGTGGATTTCTTGGAATGGAAAACAGAAGGTTTCTATAGCAAAGGTACCCCCTGCCTTTGAATTCGTTGGCCTAGTGACAGAAGGTACCTAATTAAAGGAACTGCTGAGGAATCGGTGGTAGCCATCTCCTATCAGGAGCACAGTACAAGTTCCTTAGGACCTTTGATTTTTCTTGAGCCTTGATGTCAGTTTCGGAGATAATTTTGTTGCTGTTCAGGATAGAAGGGGCGCTGTATGGATCTAGCTTCCTTGCTTTTTTTTTTTTAACTTGGAATCATATATTCCACATACAGCATTTCAAATCTCTGTATACAGACTACGATGCTAAATCTAGCTCTGTAATGCTAGATTTAGCATCAGATATCTGTTGAGAAACAGAAGCCTTTCCCTGTCTGACTCCCTTCTCTTTTCATGTTAAAGGAAGACCAAACCAGCTTAGTTGCGGGAGTGAAGGAATGGGTGTGCTGGCGGTGGTGGTAGATGTGGTCTCTCTTTAGATAGCAGCTTGGTTCACGAAGTGTTTGTCAAGACTCTGACTCCAGGAGCTCCCATCACAGCATTTGCCATGAATTGACTCGGACGTGCATTGATAGCTGTTACTTTAAATGCATACTTGCTTTTGGCTTTAATGAGGAATTAGAAATAGCTTAATTAGGACAGGTTTTGGCTTTGTGAATCTCTGAGTTTGCTATCAACATACAGGCAGCTTACAAGAACCAATTTTCCCAGAAAAAACAAATTGCCTTACTTCAGATGGCTGAGGCAGCATTTAAACTATTCTTGCTTGTCTGCGGTAGATTGGCACTGCTCTCCACTGTCGTGAACAGCTTGTTTGGATAACATAGAACTATTTAGGGCTTTATAGGGCTTTTTGGGACAATCCCAGCAGTTGTATTGTCAGAGTTTGTAATAGTCTTTGGTTATTAAAAAGGGATTTTGGCTACACAGAATGACTTGCTGTTCACTGCTTAGCTGATACCTAGTTTGATTAATTGTTTGTAAACACTATGATAATATACTGGGAATTGAGTGTGTTGGTCACTAGCTAGCTTGATTATTTATGGCATCTTCAATGTTTTAAAATATGCTGAAATGCACTTAATGCTTTGTAAAAAGCAAATGTAAAAAATGGCCGTATTTTTACACTTTTTTCCAGATGTAAAGACTAGCGATGACTTGTAATATTACAAATAAAAATGTTAAATTATTTAGCAGTAAGTGTTTGTCTTTCATTCGTCATGCGGTAAGCAGCTATTTTCCCATTATTCTTAAGATGATATTTCATGTACCAAACTTGCATTAGGTGGTAACGGTTGAGATCGAAGTTTGCAGTTTGTGCACAGAATTACTTAGTAGTAGTGTAGAGAATGTGTTTTAATTTGCTGAGCAGGCTCATAGCCTTTTGGTTTTCTTTTGGAAGTGCAGAGAATTTCCCAGAACCTCCAAAACCTTACAGTGTTCACTCCTGAAACACTTGGTAAAAACTTGATGGAGAAGAGGCAGATTATCATGTGGCTGTTCTGATGTAACACCAAATGAAGAGCAAAGCCCAGAGAGTGTTCTGGCACTTTTGTCCCGCGTGTGACAGATGTAATCCTTAGGGAATATAGCTTGGGCGTTTTTAAGTAAAATGTTAAGTAGAATGTGATTATTTTTAATTGTATGAGGTTCACGCTCAATGTACTTAATTTTCTTTGCGAAGAAGTGTGTGGAGTCGGCTTACAGAATGAAGCCTTTCAGAGGGTGGAATAGAAAAATAACTAATATGCCATATTTTTTTTTAATTTCTGGTTGTGATACTCAGAATCAGTTGGCATGGACTGCAAATGGTGACAGTATGTAGACTACACAGCTTTACAGTCTATGTTGGGATTGCAGTGGGCATTGATGGGATAGGCAGCTACTAGGCAATTTGACTTAAACACTACGAATTAATTTGTCCTAATTGTCATGAATTCTGCACCATTTTTCTAAAACTCAGTCCCACATGAATTATTTCACTTTAGAATCTGGAACTGATAATTAAAAGTCATGAACACATAAACTTCGTGCTAAGAAAAAGGCTGGATGTAATAAAAAAACGTGGTGTTGCCATCTACTGGTAAAACAAGCTATGTTCTCCCAGTGGGAGTAATAAAACATAGGTACAGTATTACCTAGTTTAATGTTAAGTTGTGTTAAGTGTCAGTGGTTGGTAGGCTTCTCAGTGTTACACTTAAAATCAGTGTAAATGTTCGCTTTTGAGCATGGTTCATCGGGGTGGTGAAAATGGAGCTGGGGACTGAAATGAGAGACTTGCAGCAATTAGATATTGTCCAGCAGGGAAACATGTAATCTGTCTACCTGAGACAGAGCCCAATACCAAGTAGCACACAATTTTATTTAAAAGAAAAAAAAATCTGAATAAATAACAGGTTAAGGCAAACAAATAGCACATGGAATATAACTGGTCAGAAGGTTAGGTGGCTGTGCTCTCACGCATGGGCCCTGGCTTGCTTGAGTTGAAGAATCTTAGTTAGGTGTTTGAACAGATGCTTCGCTTTCTCTTTAAGCATCTCTCCTAGTTGAACGTGATGCTGACTGTCCTCCTTTTGTGCAGGATGGTCGGCTTGTAGGTGTAACTTCAGGTCAGAGAACAGAAGAGCATACCATACGTGTTTGTGAACCAAGATCGTGCTTTTGATGGTGTTTGTTTATAAGGACTTTGGGGGGCGGGGGAATGAAGTTTTCCATTACTGTTGCTTTTCCCCCTACATCATAACCGATTTCAAATGGTGCTAGACAAAAACTGAGACTCTGAACACCAAGAGAAATCGGTCAGCCTGTGTAAGAGACATTTTCCTGGCTCAGAGAAGAATCCTCTTGTAGATGACAGCTACACATTCTTTAAAGACGACTATTCAGTGGTCTGATCAAATGCTTCATCCACACAGCGATCGTCTTTTCTGTGTATAATAACATGTTTGACAATAGTGAGGTCAAGCAAAAATAGTTTAGCTTCATTTCAGTGGTTTGGATGCAAGGGTATAGAAGTCGTCTGAAACATTACTAGAAGTTACCAGCAATAAACTTAAAAATAACGCTAGAAAAAGGAGTGGATTCTGTGTGCACCAGTGTGACATCATCATGATTGCTGAAGGCACTTTTGTGTTTAACTGCTGAGATCAAATTGTTGGAGGGAATTTGTGTGTTTGCAGAGCAAGTCTCTGGGAGCTACGGAATGATAATTCTCTGGCGATAGAGTCCCCAAGCTCAGAGTGGAAATATATTTGATCTAAGTTAGTAAATAAAATGTTAGGGTCCTAGTGATTGTATAAGGAAACATACTCTGCCTGTCAAGATGCAAGAAGTACTACATTGGTTTTCATGCAACTTTTGGATCACTTTACTCTGGACAACTTTAACTCAATATCCATTGTTTATTAAGTAGAAATACATTTGAAGGAAGCTGTTCCTGTTGTGGCCCTAGCTTGAGAGGGTGGGTACAGTGGTTGTATAAGTGTCTAGAAATCAGATGATGTTACAAAGTGGATGGCTGGCAAAAAAATAACCACTGGAAAAAGTGCTGTTTTAAGGAGTAGAGGCCGTCGGTGAAGTTAGCAGCTGCTTGATCTCCTCCCACGCTGTAATTCTTGCTCCTAGAACACTGATTTCAAATGGTGCTAGATACAAAGTGGGAAAATCTAAGCCACCATGTGAAACCAGCTTCCAGAGGAAGACACATCAAGTGCATGGCTGCAGGCTGAGAGAGAAAATCCTTCATCTCCACCGTACCTAGAGAAAAATTCATTTATTTAATTTTATTAGAAAGTAAGACAGTGAACTTCGGGATAGTTATTTTATTGACACTTTTTTTTTTGGCATCTTGTGAATGGTTGAGGCTGATGTAGGAGAAACGAAATAACGTGATGAAGAAACCCACCACTCTGGCAATGACTGTAATTTCCTTTCATGGCCAGGTGGAATATACTGAAGCTCTTACCAGCAAGTAGCGGAAAAGGTCTGACTTCTTTGTAGTGCAGAGTATGCTACCGATGGGGGGGAGTTTTTGTTGTACAGAACACTTTTTTTCATGCCATTGCAGATAGAACCAGGCTATAAACCTCATTCTGTCCAAGGTAGAGCGTGTTCTGACTTTCCATCACGTACTGATCTCAGCATCATCAGAGAGGACAGATCAGGCGCTTTTTGTGACAGGGAAAGGAAATGTGACTATCATGCTGGAACTTCCTTTGTCAGCTGTACCACACGGCCTGTAAATAGCATGCTTTTCATAAGCAAGGAGTTGCAGATTTTTGTGAGACAAGTCTTAAATTCTGTAGGGACAATGAAAATAAATTGCACGGAAACTACTTTGAGTGTGGGTCAGAACGAAACCTAAAAAGGGAGCGTTTGCAAATCTAACTGTAAATGGTTCAACGAAAGTTGTTGAGGAAGTAGGAGAGTGTGAAAATGAGTGGCTGATGGTTATTGGAAATGGAATAGGTCTGAGCAGTGCTGTAGTGCAGCACAGCCACGGTAGTTAACCCGCAGTGTAGGTGTCTCAGTACAGCGGGAATAGATGGGTGTCTTGAAGCCAGTGAATGACTACACACTTGCGTAATTCAGGATCTATCAAACCCTGGCCACTGTGTCTAACCTGTGCTGGTGCAGAAGCTGATGTAAAATGGAATAAAGTGCGGCAGAAGTGGAGTTGGGAGTTTCACTTATTGATGCCCTGGGTTTTTGGCAACTCTTTGCATTAGTTTTGTAACCAGATCCAAGAATCTGCTTCAGTGCCTACATCCTAATGCACACCCACAGACAGCAAAGGAAAAGCTCGGAGAAAAGAGCATGTCCTTTGAAGAAAGGGGGGTGGAGGAAGGGGAAAGAACTGTACTAGATTACTGTGTCTGGATATTTATTGTAGTTTCTAAATCCATTAACTGGGGCAACAGGGTGAAAGACAAGTGGAAAACAGGTTCCCTCCCCAGTGTCTGTCTTGCTGGCACAGTTATTTATGAGGCACCCTGTATTATCAGCGTGAAGATTTACTACTGAAAAGCTGGACCGAGAGTTACTGCTGACAAGAGGTCAGGTGCAGCACAGATAAAGTACCACAGCAGCATCTTTCAGAAACAGGCTCAAAGTGAGGGTTGCTTTGTTTTTTTTTCTTGTCTCAGTAGCAAGCATGTGCCTTAACAGTAAAAAGAAATCTTTATTAGGGTTTTCAAAAACAGTTGGTGGAAATGTCACTTATGTTTGTGCTGCTGAAAATGGGAGCTTCTGTAGAGGTGTGAGACTTCCAGAGTCCGAACACCTATGCATACCTTCCCCTTCCCTCTCCGGAAATATCATGCAGCAGTTGAAGACCAATAGCTCATTCATTATTTATAGCTTGACAAAACCAGGTTTCACTTCAGCATAATTAAGATGCTGCTGCCCCTCCTCCAGGCTACCTGAAGATTGTCCTATGCCTTAACAAGCTCCCCTTCCTTCCAAGCAGCCAGAAGGTGTCAGCGCTTTCTGCCAAACTGCAGGTACACCTTTTATGAAGGATACATCTGTGACAGTGTATGCTGTTCTTTCCAAACCTAATAGCATGCTTGGGCAGGCAGCACGCGGAGGGGAGGAGAAAAAAAAGAGAGCAGTTCAAGATGCTGTGATACGCAGCACCAACTATTAATATGCACACATGCAGAAAAAGAAACCAGTGCTTGTCTCAAACATTTGCTGGTGTGTGTTGAATGTCTACATAAGGACACGCACATACACACATATGTGTGGAGACAAGCAAATACTATCAGCTCTAGTTGGCTTTGTCAAAGTGTTGTGGAGTTTTCAATAAATAATAGAAAAAGTACAGTATTATCATTCTGCTTTTTTCCCCCTTTTTCAGACACGTTTTAGTAGCAGTGCTGTTCTGTAGCTTCTTTCAGAGGAACATCTCAAAGCCTTGCACAGGCTTCACACTGCTTTATACCTTCTACATGAGACAAAGGCAAAAAGGGAAGAAATCCCTGCCTCCCCCGTGAAAGGGAACTTCCTCCCTAGCCTAAGACCTTTAATCTAGTCTGCAGGAACAAGGCAAGCTGGGATGTCACAGACCCGATTTTTCACAACCTACAGCTTATAAATTAAGGCATTTCTTGGGCTTCCACAGTAAGCAAAACAGATCTCTGCGTGACCCTGTGTGCATCATAATTTTTTTCCTCCATTTTCAAATCGCGGAGTGAAACTCGTGGTTCGTCAGAGTCTGGTCTCCCCTGGAGAAAATATTCCCGTTTTACATGCAGAAAATCTGAGGTCGATGCATCATCCCCACAGTCAAGGAATGAGTCAGACCGTGGCCAGGTGCAGGACAGAGGGGTGTGACAGTACAAGTGGTGACCTGTAAGGGGAATTGAAATGAGTGAACTTCTAAGGTTTCAAAAAGGCTTCCTCAGCCCGGGGGAGCGTGTAACTGCATCTGTTTGTTGTGCAGTTCTGTTACTGTGTGGTGTTGCGTAGGTCAGGTATGGACAAATGTGCCCTAACTTGCAGCCAGCCATTAGTGTGTAACGCTTTCTGTGTCAGCAGTAGCACTGACCTAGGCCGAGGAAGGTAGGGGAGATGCTGCATGGCTTAGTGGAGTTGATGATTGTGACTAGAAGATGGCTCTAGAGATGCTGCTGCTATTATGGGCAGCAAAAACATGTACTTCCCTCATGAATTTAAAGCAAAATGGAGATTTTTTTTTTTTTTCTTGATTAGGACCAGAATAAAAACTCCAGATCACATTCCTGGGTGAACATAGTCTATTCCATTAGTCCTACTATCGTAGCCTTACAATTGCAGTGTAAATAGTAAAGTTAAAAGCCAGGCGCTCTGGGTCTGCAACCCTTGTGCTCTCTGCCCCCCCACCCCCAAAACCCAAAGGTAGTCTGAACACCGGAGTATGGCATGCTGCAGGTAAAAGCCTGTACAGCCTTTTGTCCCGTTCAGCTCTGAGCAATGGGACAGTCAGGCCTGCTTGACATTTGAGTCACTAATTTCAATTCCTATTAAGGGTAATCTGTCAGAGCACTCACTAGCATTTGTCTAACTGTGCTGAACTGTCACCAAGCTGCCTATCATTCTAACCCATTTTTTAAAATGGTCCAATTGTTCAAGGGTTTGGGGGTGAGGGGAAGGCCAGGTTTTTGTTTGCTCATTTGTTTAACGTAGGGAGAAGCAGCTCTTTTCCAGATAATTTAGCGCAGGCCAGGTGATTGGCAGTGTCAGTGATGGCTGAAATTTGGCTTGTGATGAGGTCTGAGAGGTGCAGCTTGGCCTCTTCTCTTTGCATGGTGGCCTCACTGAAGGCACACTAGCGTGTGGTTAACTCTTGCTGCTTTGGGTGAGTTTTGGATGAGTTTTGATAGAGTTCTTTCCCACCCGGTTTGGTGCCAGCCAGGATTCTCCTAAACAATGCTGAGCCACGGTCTAGCAGTCAGCATTGGCAAGCAGGTATTGGTGGTTTGGATGCAATGAACCTCATTTTGAGGGCAAGATAGTTCAACACTAGCATTGACCCAGGCACACTGGGTGATGTGATGGGCCATAGCAGCCTTCTTTTCGTGGTTCTGCCATACTGATCCACGTTTTCTGTGGTGCTTGGGTCTAACAGAGTAGGCTAAAAAAAGTGCAAGAGACCTTTAATTTGCAGATTACACATCTTTTGGAGAAACTTGGAGATAGTTCATAACAGCACGACATCACTAAAATAATTAGGATTTATTCACAAGACCTTTTTTTTAAATCCAGAACTTCGTTTCAGACTGATAAGTAAAATATAACACTTACTTGCTATTTGCTATTGCTTGCCCCAAAGCTATTCTGAACTGAAGGGAGAGATTTTAGCATGGTGACCATTCTAGGAGCGCTAGATACTAGGGCTACAATTTCTAATCTTCTGCTTCCCGTCTGCTCATCTGAAATTGCTTTGATTTGCCTGGAGTCATACAGTTTTCTTCCACCTTTGATTTCATGGGAGTTCCTAGGCAAAACCACAGCCTGTTCGGAGGGCACAGGAACTACTGAACCACTGAATCCTATTGAGGATTTCAGATTTCACAAGGAACGATGAGGTGAAACTGGGCAAACTTACAGGGGAAGAAAAGCATCGCGCTTACATGACCCAGGTCATGGAAGAGCAGTAGGAAGTTGCAGCACTGAAAACTCATCAAATTTAGCCATACACAGCTTGACTGAACAGCACGTTACAAAACTAACTACGCTAAAAAAAATTATCCACCAAAGTAGCTGAAACCAGAAAAGTAATTTTCTGTTCCTAGCTTCTGTACTTAAGCATCACCTTAGAATATAAAGTATTGATTGCAGCTCTTGAAGGCAGTCACAGAGAGATTATTGTTGTGATTTGTATAGTCAGTTCAGGAACATGGTGTTCCCCCAACACTACCATTCCCACTACTTTAGGTAATGTCAAGGGAAGTCATATTTTTCTTTGTGTCATTTAAGAGACAAAAGAATGTCCTGTGCCAGGGAAGAGCATAAGGAAACAAATACTGCCAGATGTTCACTGAAGTATAACCTGCCCTTAAACCGGACGTTTGAAAACATGCCTTCAGTACCCTGCCATATCTTAACGCTATCCACAGTAGCAAGGACCTGTCAAAAAAGCTGGAGAAAAGCATTGACCAAACTCCTGGCTGACTCCCCTGAGCACGTGAGCTGTTTGGTTTGTACCTGTTCCCAGGATTTCCGTCATTCTGTCTATCACTGAAACTTCACTGTATGTTTGAGAGCCATCGTCAATGTTTAAGAAGCATTTAAGCTGTATATCTGAATACAAAACCAGTGGCTGCTGATGGACACCTACTATGCACCATTTGCACTGGATAAAGTGTTTGTGTGGGGAGCTGAAGAGATGTGCTTAACTCAGAAATAGCTCTCTTCCTTGGAAAGCTTAGGGTCTGAATCACACTGTGTTGGCTCAGTTTTTAGCAGACAAGCTATCACATATGCCTCCCTGTAGGCGAAGAGTCGTCACTGGCATCAGGATTAGCAGCCAGGTTCTTTCCCTTTGAAAACTAGAGAATAACGATACTGGTGGCTAAGACTGACTTTAAGCACGGTCAGGGCAGGAAGCTGCCCAGGGCTGGAGGCTTGGGGAGGTCGGCTAGCAAAACAGGTAGGTAGGCTAGCAGGAAGGATCCACTCGTGTCCGTGCTTGGCCTGCACTGGCCCCCACGTTCCTCTCTGTTGGAAAGGAGGCAGATAACATGCCCCCAAATTGAACTTTGTTATTGCAAAGATGGGGACAAAATAGGTTATTTTGCTCAAGATCCTTGGGGCATTAACCACTCCACTGCTGCCTATGAAGCTGAGAAGACTAGAGCCAGCCCTAACATACGCATGGTTGATGTTGCCCTGTGTCAACTGAAAATACTAGTGACATGGACAAATAGGAACACCGGAGAAAAATGTGGAAACCTGGGAGGGGACAAGACAGCTATTGGGCTGAGGTTCCTGAAACTGAAAGCTCACGGGAGACAACACTAGCTTCACAGATGTGGTGGTGAACTTAGAGCAGCCTGCGGAGTCCACCTGATAACGACTACAGGAACAGAAATGCAAATATATGCAGACACTTTTTTCATATTTTTTTTTCTGGAACACAGTGTAAGTTGATGACTATTCCTTAAATGCATGCCACTCCTGATTCCCAGCAGTCCAGAGGAAGTCTTGGGGAAAAAGGGGATGAGGGAACTAGTGCAAAGTTTTTGTAGTTAGCTCAAGAAACAAATTATAGATAGGGATTTTAAAACGCTTGAGAGATGCAGGATGTTTTGGATCTACACTTTTGGACTCAGTGGCCCACTACTGCAGTAGCATTAATTTTCAAGCCTCACCTCCAGGCTCAGGACTCAGCACTGCCACAATTGTAAGAAATGTGGACTGGGAGTTCCCGAACCAACTGGTCGCTGACAGTGAGTCAGGGGAATGACCTTGCAGCAGGCAGCTCACAGTACCTCTCTCGGAGCCGTGCCAGTATAAACGGCTCTGGCATCTCTGAATGCTGTTGAAACCATTTTGAGAGATTCCCACGTTGGCCATTTCTACTGCCGCCTTTGCACCAAAACTTTTGGGTGGGTGAGAACAGAATAGAGTACTCCCTTCTTGTTCCATAACAAGGGCATCTTCGCAATCTAGGCTTGGGACTATCTATATCTACATACAGATACATAGAGGATACGGGCAACTCCTATCTCTTGCCTACATCTTTGTCCATTAGCATCAGCGATAGAGATACTTAACTGACTTAAATCTTACCCGCCCCCCCCAGCCACACCCATATTAAACCTTAAGAAAACACCGTGAACAAGTTTTGGAAAAACTACACAGCATCAGTGAATTTTCTGGATAGGTCTGGAAGTGATTTGTAAGAGGAGTGAAGGTAGAATACTTGGTATTTGGACATTTTAATGAATTTTCCCAAATAAGAAAAGAAAAACATTTGCTCGTAGACTTTAAGGTTCTCACAGCATCAGTAAAGCTCCTGACACAGAGCCCCATGCTGTATTTGTATGACATGGAAATTAACAGCAGCAGCAGCAGCGCTGCAGGCTTAGAGTCTACTCTGCGAGCAACAAAATGGCTAGGGGTGCTGTTGTGTTCATTCGAATTCCTTCACCGTTTGTGGGTGGTGAAATAGGTGGATGCCGATATCCCTGCCACTTCAGGTATGGTTGCAAACTTCAACATCAATATTAAATTAATGTTCCTAACCGTATTCAAGCTTGTGCCCTCATCAGCTCAACTCCGTAAAGCACAGGCAGGAACCAACAAGCAAAATCGGACTGCGTCACAGATGTAACATGACCATCGGCAAAACAAGTGCAGGAAGAGATCATGGCTGCCTCATCAGTCAGAGAGCCTTCCTTCAATATCAAAGAAGAGTAAGACAGTAATGCTTTAAAATTTATGTCGTGAGCATTTGCAATCCCTAACTTCCTTTACCAAATTTTGTAGTCCTTGATCAGTCAAAACGCCCAAGAAAATTGCATGTATTTTGCCAACAGACCCAGCGCATTAATGAACACTGCGTCATAATGCCGCACTAAGGCTGAGAGATATCATAAACCCCACTTTACAAAGGAAGGAAACCAAAAGACACAAAAATGAATCGGCTGACACAATGTCACACACACAAGTGTCAGAGGGAGGAAGAAATCACAGCTTTCCCAAGTCCTTTTGCGGCAATACGCAGAACACCATTACGGAACAGTCAGCCATGTACAGCTCACATACAGTAACAATACCATCCCTATGCGCAAAATCGCTACCGTCCTACAGAAATATGCCGTGTCCCCTTCTTAGCCTTGTTTCTTGCCAGTCCCACAGATTTACCTGCTGACAGTAACCTCAATTCCTGAGTAATGAGATTTTCAGCTGAAGTTTAACATTGAAATAACTCCTCTTTTATCTCTGTCTCCTTACCCTCCCTGCATTTAGCCACAATTAAACTATCACTATGGCAAAAAAAAGATGGTAGCAAAAGGACTAACAACAAGTGCATCCCTACGCTGAACACAGATACTCAAAAAGTACGCATATGCCTGAGCAAGTATACTGGCTGCCAGTTGCACCTCCTTCCAAAGGACTGAGAAATGCCATTAAGAAGCACGAGCTTCGCAAATTAATGGGGTCCTCCACCCCACAGCTGCGATGGGGAAAAATGCAAAGGGTTGTCCGTTCAGACAGCACTCAGTAATACAGACTCAACCCACCCGTCTTCCATGCAACCGAGCCTCGTTTCGTAGTCCAGCTCCTGGCTGTACAGAATTACCTCCGCGGCTGCCTTGTACTGTTCCTATATGTGTGTGTATTTATGCCTGTCCAGCTTGCTGCAGGGACCACCGTTGTTGCTGCTATTCCTGTTGTTCCCCTGCTCTGCGGAACTGGCGCTGCAGGAGGCGAGGATGCTCCAAGGGAGCCAGCTACAGCCAGCGAAGGCTCAGTGAGTCAGGAGGGGTTGTGACGACTGCAGTAAGAGTCTGAAATTCCCTATGGAATCTGGCAGAAAAGGAGGGGAGGCAAGAAAGGTGGAGATGGGAAAGAGGAAAAAAAGTGGGGAGTGGCACCTACTGTCTGTTTTCTTCTTCCCCCCCCTGTTCCTACCACCGCACTGCCGTTGGAAATGGCATCCTCCCCTCTACGGTACTGCGCAAAGGAATGGAGTTGGGGATAAAACCGCAGCGCGTACGGCCTTTGTAACCAAACAACCGAAATTCGGTCGGGGCGGGTGTCTGTGTGTAAATACAGCCCTTCTTTCTCTCCCTCTCTCTCAGACTGCCGTTCAGAGGACAGGCTGCTGCTGAAGTAACGGAGACGGCGGACGCAGTACGTTTGAGCCGGTTCTGAACCCAGCGGTTGTTGCTAAACAACCGGACCTGACGCTTGAGATGTCAGCAAGTGAGTAATATAGATTAAATGCTTATGCTACCATATCCTTAAACTTGTTTAAGCCTCGATATGATGAAAGGCTATGGAATAATGTTCCCTGCTGTATGAGAAAGCAAAGTTACCACTCCACTGCATAATCAGGAGACTTCCGCGGCCAGAAGGACCAAGCCCAAAGCTGGTTGTGTCCTCAGCACTTCCAGGCAGAGTTGCCATCTTCATTGCTGGTCGCTTTAAGAAGAGAGGTGAAAAAATAGTATAGTAAATGGTTAAGAGAGAAAAATGTTCTCCCCTTCATTTCCTCATCCTCTCTCTGGAGCTGCTCTCTGCCCTCAGTCTCCCATTTATCCTTACCCAGTCCTTCCCAATCCTCCTTCAATCCCTGCTTTCTAACGCTGTTATTTCTTTTGCAAACCTTTACAGAGGCATCACTTAGGGCTGTGTTGATGTTACCTAGCCTGTGGCACGCTCACCCTTATGCAAACAAAAGCTGAGTTTGGGCAAGAGTCTTTTTCGCTTCTTTAATTATTCCCACGACACGATTTCCAGGTGCAATCCCTGCCCCAAGCAGTTCACAGTCCTGCTAACACTTAACCACCTTATAAGGGAGAAGGAGGAAAGCAAGCAAGCGAGGAGAAAAGCCCCAAACCCCAGTACTTTCCCCTTCCCCGTGGTTTGCAGCTCTGACACGTCATCGTCACCACCGCACGGCGAAACGAAACAACTTGTCCCCGTTTTGGGGCTCCCTGGGCTGGCTCAGCCTGGGGTGGAAGCAGAGCCACCCCGGGGCGAGGGCTGGTTACTGGGGAGAGACTGGGCAATGCGGGCTGGAGCGGGCAGGGAGCGGGCAGGGAGCGGGCAGGGAGCTGCCGGCACTTTGAAGCAAGTGAAATCAACGTTGAGATTTGACACCCAGTCCTCGGCCAATCCGGGAGGGCTTTTCACCTGCCATCACCTCCTCCGCCAATCGGACGGCGCCTTTGGGCTGAGAGCCCTCCCCGGCCAATGGGGAGCCAGCTCTGCCACTTAGTTAATGATGCAGCAGTACAGGGAAGACTATCACATGTGAGCTGGAAGGCTGCCAACATGGAGACACGGAGAGAGCAAGGTAAACAACTTTCCAACGCCAAAATGATGACATTTAATCCCTAAATGCTCGCTTCCCGTCTCGACTCATCCTTAACCCCTTTCAGCTGGTGTGGAAGCGTCTGGAAGGCACCGTCTACCTGTCCCCGGTGCTTTTAAAAACTGGACGACATGCCCTGCAATGATCACTGCGTCACCGTTTACCACTTTCCGAACTACGCAGTGACAAACCTCCAAGCTCTGAAACGCAGAGCGCCTGTTAACCCCTCCACCGAACCCTCGCCAACATGCCAGCCTTTAGGGAGACGGGGGAATAAAAAGCCCAAACAAAACATGAAAACAGCAGTCTTTGCAAAGTTGTCATCTCTCCCCCACGACTACTACCCTCCTCTGCAGTACAGCAATGCCGGCAAGAGTGACATTAGTACAACCTGTGCCGTCGTTCCATTGAGAAAACAGCTCTGACGCAGAACAGAGCAATCATACCCAGCCAAAATAATAATAAAGGCACTCTGGGATCCGAACTTAGGGACGCCGGGGGAAAGGGACGCCCTGCAAATAATTAAAATAGGTAGATGCAGCTCAAGCCCCATCCTGATCAAAGGGTACGTACGTGGGAAAGACGAACCGGACCGAAGAGCTCTGCCCGTGCACCATCTGCGCAGTCCTCAGCCCTCTGCTCGCTGTGTAGCGCCGCAGAATAGAAGGTTCCAGAAATTTCCTTTCCGTTAACCCTTTCGCTGTCTGCCCACTCTCCCTCCCCGCGGGATTAAGCGCGCCGGGTCTCCAGCATCGTCAATGGGCGAAGCCTCCTATGCCAACCAAGCCCAAATACGATCTTTAAATGACACTGGATGGTGGCAGGAGCCCACTCCCTGGTGTTGGTGTTACTTCTCTTTCTGGAGCCCTCTCTGCCTCTCTTGCTGCCTCTCTCCCCTCTTGCTGCAGCAGGGCTGTTGCTGGTAGACCTATCGACGGAGCTTGCTCTCTCACTCTCTCGCTGAGCTCTGTGACGCAGCTCTAAATTCTCCAGCCTGCTCCCTGTGTTATAAGAGCGGAACTGCAGCTTTCCAGGGAGCCCGTGCCAGCGGTGCCAGGGCCAGGCAAACCGAGGGGAACGTCGCTCCTGGACTCTGCACCTTTTTTTGGTAATTATTATGTTCCTCACCTCTGTTTCTGTGCTTCCTCCAAGGCTCTCAGCCTCGCATCTCCTTCTCTGCTTCTGAGTCATACTTACTAGGTTAACTCTTTTAGGATTGGTAGTCAGCAATAAAAATCTCGAACAAGCGCAGCTGAAACCACAGCCAACTTTGTGGTGGTTTCTGCTTTAAAAAAACCAAAGCAAATCTTCTTGGCTCTAAAAAACAAAAACACACACGCGCGCACACACACACGTTCCAGTAGAGAGTTAGTGCTTTTTGATTAACTGTTTCGGTGACAGGAACCACTACTTGACTTCCTAAAATAAAATATTTTAGGCCTACATCTTGCAAATACTCAGCAGGCAGTTACCCTGAAGCACAAGGCAACTTAAAAGGAACTGCTCCTGTGAACGAACACAGGTCTTTGGGGCATAAAAGCATGAGGCTACTGCTGGACCCACAAGACCCTGCTATGCTGGCCGCAAGACATTGATCTGAATTTGGTTCAGCCACTGGGCAGGTGCATGGTGTAAGATAAGGTACTGAAAGTGCTAAAAAGCTATAGGCTCTTCTTAATCTGAGCAGTATTAATCAGTGTTCTCACGCACACAGATTCAGAATGCTCAGTGTAGGCAGGGGAACTAATAACTGCATTCCTGGAGCCACCAGAATCCAAAAAAATCTCTGTCAAAGAAAGTCCACAAACAGCTATGGATTTCAGCACAGCAGGCACCACCAGGCAAGAGAAATTTTGCAGACGGACACTCTCTCCTTGCCTCTGCCCCCTTGCATTAACTCTGGTGCCTTCAGTCAACTTCAGCACCAGGCAGGGGAAGCGGTGCTCTCCCGTCTTGGAGCCTCAACACCGGAAAACGTGGAGGTGGATCGGCGGTAGATACAGCATCTGGGAGTCAAAGAGAAGCTAATGGAAAGCCAGCGCTGTATGAGGGAGTTCATGCGTCAGTCTGCATATACAAAAGAGCGAGCGAGAGAGCCAGCAGTCCATTTGAAAGACAGAGAATCAAGGGAGAGATCACTACTACACGGCTACATCTGCCATTTTAATTCCGGACTTCAGAGCTGGCTGCAAGCTTTGGGTTTTTCACTACAACCAAAGCTGAAGTAACCACTATTTTTTCTCTTCGCAGCGTCTGAAGAGCCTGAGCTATTTTGGGATTTGTCTGTACTACACTGAAAATGACACCTGTTACGCACAGACACAAATGAGAAGAATTGCAAGCTCCCGGTTTCTCAGATACGATTCTACAAAAAAAAAGAAAAGGCTCCTATGAGCTCGGGACCTGGGAGAGCAGTGCGGGCTCTCAGTGTGGGGTGAAGGGGATGACCCTTGCGAATTGAACAGTCAGACACCAGTACAAAAAAATGTAAAAGGTCCGTTGTAGCTGATGCAAGGGGAAATCAAACCTCCATGTGACCAAAAGAAGTAGTGCTCGATCAACTAAATGCCAAGACATGGTTTCTTATGCAATCAAACCCATGGGACTTCAAGCCTTACATACACACTTTGTGGCCAAAGCTGCAAGCATTAACTACTTCAGTTAATGAAGGTAAAATTGTAAGAGTGCTACGGCTACTTAAATGAGTCAGCCAGCAGTGATACTCGCTAAAGTAGGCCAGTGTTTTATGTGATGTTAAGCTGTCTGTGCTGGTTTCAGTTACCGAAACCTGAGTTATCTCCGAAGCTCCACCAACATGCAGGGTCAGAGCGGATTTTCCGCGTTCCCCGTTCTCCCCGTTAGCGTGCGGCTGATTTACCACACACCAGCACTCTGCAGACAGACAGAGGCCATCTCGCTGGACCTGCGCGACCCAGCGAAGCTCTGAACATGATTGCGTACGGCACTGGAGCAAGATAAAAGACTCGGAGGCTCAGAAATGGGACAGTTGACTGGTGCTTTTAGCTCACAGCGATTTTGTCAGTCTTGTGGTATATTAAGAGAGTAAAATGGAGCTTTGATTTATTTCAAATTATATCTTTTTGGTTGCTTTCAGGGGAAAGGTGGCATTTATTTTATGGTTTACTTTCATTTGAAAATGACCAGCCATGGAACATTTCTACCTTTCCCTGACTGTAAGTATTTACTTTTTGGTGGTACTCAGGCTCCCAAGAAGATTCAAAGCTGCACCGCACTGGGAAACACTCAAGTGCGCAACTAAGAAAACATGGCACAATGGAAAGCTTCAGCACTCGAAACTGAATAATGAGGCCCAAAAAAATAAAGTCGTCTTCTCACACAGTTGAGTCAGTTCAGTGTTGGACAGGCTTTGGCATTTTCTGTGAGCTGAAGTAAGGAAATAGAGGCCGTGGTTCCATGGTAGAAATCTATGCTGCTTTTCTGGTTTAAGTGGAGCCCGTTTTGCTAATGCTTTTTTTTTTCCCCCCTCCCCCCTCCAAACTCATCTAAAAACAGGCAGAACTTTGGTTTTGTAAAAAGTGACTACGAGGAAGCAAAGTCCCAGGCTAGAAAGCAAGCCTGGTAAATGGAAGTAATCCACGACCATGGTGGGAGGCAGGGGAGATCAGTCTCACCAGGCAAATGCAGTGTAAGTATCCATTCCAAAGGGAGGGGCGACCTAATGGCTGACTACAACTGTGCCATGGGTGCTTACAGTGTTGATAAACAAACAAAAAAGTTTCGATCGTGCTAGACAATGTAATAAGATGTCACAACTTGAACGGTTCAGGCTGGATGTTCGGGGAAAAATAAATTTCTTAGGAGGGTGGGAGGGATTGAACCCCCAGCCGTCACTACCAAGTCTACCGTCAATTAGCAGTTTCCCTCGGCATCATGAAAGGATCAGGGAGCAATTCATCAGTGAGCAGAGGAGGCGTGGGCTTGCCACTGCTTATATGCCAAACTGTACGTAAAGACGCATCCTCAGTTCCGTGGCATCTCCCGTGCTATTTTCTGCTATCATGCTACAACGACCTTAACAGCAATAACATATGAAGTCTGACGTTACAAAACTCTACGCACACCG